CAACGTTTCGACAAGGTTTTGTCATCATCAGGTGATGATGACAAAACCTTGTCGAAACGTTGTACATTTGCTGTTGTATTAAAGTTTTTCTTCATTACCAATTCAAGCCGTCTTTAGCCATTATTATTCTTACTAACTGTTATCAGAGAAACCTCGGGTCATTTCAGTGACAAGTCTATATATACATACAGATCATAAGCATGATATTTTTCTTAACGTGTTTTCATAATAATTCTAGTAGCAGTTCGGATGAGTTATTGAGAGACGACATTCCAGATTCTTGAGAACAAGATTCGAAGGATCCAGATATCATTCCTTCCCAAGATGACTGGAATTGTTAGATTATTGAACAATATAGAGCTAAAGACACAAGATTTCAAAGAAATGAACCTTAAATAATCTTCAAGGAAGCGTAAATTCTCACACAACAAAGCTTTTAGAATAGCAATGGATTCTGAACCATACCACAAGTCAATCCGGAGCAAATCTCTCATCTGCGAGGGCAAGGCTATGGTTATGAAAGGTATATCTCCAAACCACATAGTTATTGTGATGAAACTGGATATAGTTTCGTGACACCGCCAACAAGTGTTTAAAGTTGACGAAAGCTCACAAACTCCCAACAACTCCTCAAAATCAATGGTTGTTTTCACGATGATGATGATTGAAGAAATTGAAATCAGAGCAATCCCATTCGACCATCTGCCTATAAGAGTTTCCAGATGCATCTTCAATTACCTTTTGTTCCTTTCGTCTGCTTATATGTGGTCTTGAAACTAGACACATACGTACAGTGGAGAGACTGTGGAAATTGTCCAAGATGTGATTAACCCCGTCAGCAGAAGCTTGTTAAACGTAAATTGCAATATCAAGCAGCAGTTTGTAATCAAGCAATCAAAGTTAAAAATATTACCGATGACTGAAGAAGTTTCAATGGCATCATGGGACCTAAAACAAATGTCCTTACAAAGTTACGATCAAGAGCCCTCTTCAGTACTAAACAACAACACCAAAAACAAATACGGAGTGTTTTAAACTTGTTAATTTTGTATAATTATCCCACGTAGAATAGTGTGTCCTACCAGCGGCCTGGCAGCAGTGTACAGATTTACAGATTTACCCTAAATAAACAGCGTTTCATACCAGTATGATACTCATAGTACAGATAGCGTTAACGTAAACAAATAGTGTTTCATAGCAATATGGTACTAATAGTACAGATAACATTACCCTAACTTGATAGGCAGAATGATTTGTGGTATAATAAACGCTTCACTAGTGATGTAATTTCTAAAGTTTTACATTTCATGTTCATGTGTCCAAAGAGGAGGGTCAACCTACGTCAACACGTGATGGATATTGTACCTCGGACTCGATTAGTCTTGGGCGTGATTCACCTTATAAAACATTCTAAACTTTAGTTACTTAAATGTAAATTGAAAGACTCTGTACAGTACTTAATGGTTGTATGTCATACTCTCCTCTTCTATTTGTTTTTTTTTCTTCTAAGTTTTCCAATTTGTATACTTGGAAATTTCACTTGTGTCGGTTCGTGAAGGTGTTTTTTTTTTCTAGCATACGTTTACTATCGCACTTAAGAACGAAAAGAAATAACTCAATTGAAAATAAAAACGAAGCAGTAAGAAAAAATGTTGTTGTACTAGAGAAGAAACACTGAATTACTTCACGACAAAAATTAACTGATGAACAACTAGGAAGAGCTGTCTACGTATAAGTGACAGAAAATATTAATTTGATAAAACGGATCTGCACTAAATTATGCCCCATTTACTCTTTTTTTACTTATTACAACAACGTAGTAAATATTTCCGACTGGAGTTAAAACTAACTGATCTACTAACTGGTCGAAAGGAGAATTAAACGTGTACTGATTAATTTTTCTTAAGCTTCTTTAGTTTCACATGACCGGAATAGTCTAGAAACTGTGGACGTTAGTATAATTTTTCGAATCCTAGTAAATATAACTGAACAAATACAATACGTTTAGTACATATATAAAATAACATCTTATAATAATTTTAATAATGCATTATAATCTAATGGGCTTGATATATGTCTAAAACAACATCGTATATGGCTTAATAATGCGATATAGCCTAACATGCTTAATACATATCTAAAGCAACATCGTATGTGGCTTAATAATGCGATATAGCATAACATGCTTAATACATATCTAAAGCAACATCGTATGTGGCTTTTGATAATGCCCTATAATCTAATATGCTTTACACATATTTAAATCAAAGCCCTGATAATATCTAATATTCACGAAACAATAATCTAAGGTTATAGATAAACCTTAACTTTAACAATAACTTGCAAACGTGGGCCACAAACAAAGCACCAGATACTCGTGTTTTGTTTGTTTGTTTGTCAATTGATCAGTTATTATTATCATTCTTACTAACTGTTATCAGAGAAACCTCGGTCATTTCAGTGACAAGTCTATATATACATACAGATCATAAGCATGATATTTTTCTTAACATGTTTTCAAATTAATTCTAGTAGCAGTTCGAATGAGTTATTGAGAGACGACATTCCAGATTCTCGAGAACAAGATTCGAAGGATCCAGATATCATTCCTTCCCAAGATGACTGGAATTGTTAGTATCAACATTTTATAATCTATCTGTATATAATTATGTCTATCTCTTTGCTGTTTGTCTATCTAACAAACAATATACATATTTATATAATGGTTGTTTAAAACGAAAAAAGACTATACATCTTTTTCATATCATTGTCCACTGGAAAAAAGGTTTCTCTTCACTATAATATTCTTGATAAGTCTCTTTATTATTTAAAATATTCATACTTACTTTCTGCAAGAACTATCACTTGAATTATGTGCGATTATGTATTTTTTACAGATACATCTAATTTCAGGCTCTTATCTCAAAGGTTATCCTATTTTAGGCAAAATATATTGAATACATACGTGAGACCATAATATATGCAAAATACAATTTAAAGATAGATCTGTTAACATTAATAGTTTGTAACGTAAGTACGTGATTAATAATTACTAAAATTCATATTTTGTATTACTTTCATTCTAATTTTGTGGCATACATTTCTTGTGTAGTGAATAACAAAATGATTGAATGAACGCTCACTAGTTCGTCATTTTGTTAATACCCAACGTAAACGAAAAGTGAGTTCTGGTTAGCCAGAAAAGTTGCATTCCTTGTTTTAGTTACATCTGTGGTGGGCCTTCTCTTTTCCTCCAAATAAATTTTGGAATCTTACCATGCCATTTTACAACTATTTCTCCAAATTATTTTTGCAAAAGTTGCTTCAAAAATCAGCGTTAACATCCGAAGTAATCAAATCAGTATTATTCGAAGCAAATAGTAATTCCAAAACTACTTTTTAAAACTAACTTATCATTTGATTTAGCTTTGCAAGCACCTCAGTCTGATGTTATTATTTTCATACGTTTTAAAGTTTTGAGATCGTTTTCATCCTGTTTGTTTCTGTTTATTCTGACATTTTACTACACGTAACGTGAAATTAAAGCACTCGAGAGAGTTTGCTGATACAGTCGGTTTCTTCTACTTGCAATAATAAAGAATCCATTTTACAAGAAGTAAAATGTGGCATGTAAGACATTCTACTTGCGTTAAAAACGACCAATTTCCAGTGAGTATTTTAAACCAACATGTTACTTCTAGCACAGGTCTAGTGGTTAGCGTGCCCGGAATGTGAATCCAAGGATTCATGGATCACGTACTGTTGTCGTAAAATCACGTTCAACATTTTGGAGCTATGGGTTTACTATAAGAGCCCCGGTCAAATTCCACTATTCTATCAGACAAGAGTAGCACAAAAGTTAGCACTGGTTGCTGTTGGCTCTCTACCTTCTCTCTCTATGGACGGCTAGAGCAGATGGTCATTTGTATACATTGTCACACAATTCTTCAAAAGAACTGCTTATGCTTCTTAAAGGATTCAGCACTGACTTGTTTTTCTCAGACCCCGATGAAGTTGTAAAAAAAAAAAACTTCGAACATTAAGAAGTATCTAATTACTTACCATATAAATAGTTGTTACCAATGTAAATTTGACGTTGGTACAGTCAAGAGTAAACTTCGCTGACTTCAATTACGTAAGACGGTCTGTTAATACGATGTAAACAAATCAAATAAACATTATTCCAATTACGTAAGAAGGTCTGTTAATAACATGTAAACAAATATATATATATATAAATTATTCCAATTAACTAATTACAAAAAATATAGCACAACTGTAAATCTGAGAAATTCAGTAACAATAAGCTTTAAACGGTCGTGTTTAGTTAATCATCTATTAGCTTTGGAGCTTGCAAAGTTTTTCATATTCATAAATATTACACGATCTGCAGTGTCACGTATGAAGGCTTCGTAAATTTCCTTCGCGTATATTTTGTTAAAATCAAATGAAACGCATAGCAACTTCAGTTGATAATGCATATCAAAGCGCAAAGTTTCCAGAATTGTAATAAACTAAACTTAAAGTATGAAACATCTAGCACTGTAGTAAACTGCACAAAGTTATATACAGTTTGTAAGCTTTACTGAAAGCACGAAGCTTCCGGCATTGCAGTGAACTAGACTCAAAAAAATGAAATTTCCATCACTGCAATAATCTGGTACATTATACAAGTAATTACGAGTTATAAGTTTGACACAAAGTACGAAGTCTCTATCATTGCAAGAAACTAAATCCAAAGTATGAAACTCCCAGCATTAAAATATACTAGACAAGTGATTACGGTTTGTAAACTTAGTCCAAAGCTTGAAACTTCCAGCATTGCAATAAACTAGATAAGTGATTACGGTTTTCTATATAGCTGCAAATAAGGCAAGTGCTTTTTAACACAGTAATGTATACTTTTATTATTAATATTATTATACAATAATTTTAATGGACTGAAAAAATATGTAACTCTATAAGAAATGTGGTGATAATGTTGAAATTTCGATGTGTTCTTGTCTGTACATAAAGGAAATTACTTAGGTTTAAGCTCTGTAGAAATGCACTTAGTATTTCAGACAAGCGATAAAACTTATAGAAATATTTTATTGTAAGCTGATATACGAGTACTGCTTTACTTTGTTTTGAACGTTTTTGTAGGTTTACCAAGAAGAGGAGTTGACCAGAATTGCTGCGAGATTCTGGTTACGTCAGACCGATGTGTGACAAGCCATGTCGGCGTCCCTGAACAATCTACAAGCAATACTTCACCAACGTTGCAGGTCAAATTGTGCTTTTAAGTTTCAGTTATCACATTATATATTTACTGTATTAGAAGGGAAAGTGTCATGATAAATATTCGAACCTATAATAATTTCTTCTGGGGTGTTTAGCCTATTTTTTTATATAACTGAATAATAGCTTGTTGAAAGCTATAACATTATATCAATATCCCCTAACTTGCATATCATTTGTTTTTACACAGCACATAAGAGTTAAAGTATAATTGTAATATATAATGTTTTAGCTAAGACAATGCAAGCTTACTTTTTGCATCAATGTCGTTCATAGAAAAAAAAATCGTTTGTATGAAAAACAGGCTTATACGCTCTTAATAACCTCCTGCAGACGTCCAGTTGCAACTGAGAGTATCTGACATTGACTGGCTTCCGTTTATATAAGGACTCTCCACATTTAGGAAACATCCACATTTCTCCTTTGAGCCCTGTCGATGGAGCATGAAGTACTTTAATCTTTGTAATTCACACCAGAAGAGAAAACTAAGACAAAATATGCATATAAGCTGAATAATCAAATATTTAAATCGCATGGCTGATTACGCAAGCCTGCAAATTTAAACTTCATAAAAGTTGTTTTGGTTTTAATAACGGAACTTTTCCATAATTCAGCTACGTAAATTTCGAAAATAATATTCTTTTTTTTTTCTATCACGAAAGGATTTTTTACAAATCGTGAAGAAAAAACTCTTATGTAGATCAAATTATTATTTCATTTACCACAATGAACATTTTTTATTATTATTATGTTTGTTAACAAAGATACAACGAGCTGTAAAACTGATGTAAAACTAACATGTATCCTCATTCATCCTGATTTTTGTGTGCGAAATCTACGTCTTTTAGTCTCAAAACTACGTGTTGTGGTCTTTCTTTTATGCCTTGCGTCTGGAGCATCTCGTTTCAATGACCAGCAGTAATCAGCCATCATGCTAATGTTCCACATTCCCTGATACCTCCTCTCCATTTCCCGGATGTCACGTGAAACCTTTTCTCTTGTACTTCTCTAACAGCACCGAGATGTTCAGGGAAATAGTGAATATGTGAGTGTAAGAAATTAGCTTTCAAGCTCATATTACAACCCAACTCTTTAAATTTATCAAGCATGTTATTGACAATATTTTCGTAATTTGCGTCCTTGTTGTTTCCTAAAAATTTGTCAATAACATCTTTAAAGGCAATCCACGCATCTTTTTCAACTTTCTTCATTATCTATTCGAACTGTTCATCCGAAGTCAATTTCCTAATCTGAGGCTCAACAAATATCCCTTCTTTAAGTTTCGCTTCTGAAAGACCTGGAAATTGCCCACATAGATATTTGAAACAGTCGCATCTTTGTTTAAGGCTTTTACAAACTGCTTCATCAAGCTCAGTTTTATGTGAAGTGGAGGTAATAGGACTTTCTTTACGTCAACCAAACTTTCATGTTCAATGTTTTTCGATCCTGGTATCAGGTTGACTCTGCATGGCCATTGCTTCTTTATCCAGTGCTAATTTCATGCTCTGCTATCCCATTAACACAAAAAACATGGAAACTTTGTATAACCGGATTATTGACCCAACAACATACAAAAGACTTTTAAGTCTCTGCAAAGTAGCCAACCATGCTCTTTGTATTTGATTTTATTAAGTGAATCGAATGAGCAATAGAACAGGTGCACATATGTTACCATTGTGAAGGAGGATACCTTTTAGACTTCTTTTGGAGGAATCAGTGAACAATAGCTCCTCACCTGGTTCATAGACTGCAGCTCCTAGCATTGGTTTTCATTCAGCAATATTGTTGCAATAAACCAGTGAATCTTCTAACGAAAAGTATGGTATAAACTCTTTCGAGTGTTGTAGCCTTGCACGTTACATGAGCAAAAGTAGCAGTCATCTCCGTGGTTTCTAGGCTCACACCAGCCCATTGGAATTCCAAAAGACAAATACTTTTTCTTACTTTTAGTTCATTGTATCAACTCTTCGACAGAAAAGGAGCAAACTTTGTGCAGAGACAATGATTTGTCTTGGTACCCAAGTTTTATTCCAAAATACGCTTAATATGCTTTTTTTACGAATTCTGTAATGTTTTGCCTTTATTTCTTTACAACAAATGTACCACAGATATAACAGAATATGTTTGGGTCATTTACACAACCTCTTGCTGCCATAGAGATGAATAAATAATACTTAATAGAAAAACATAATGTCAAAGTGAGCGCACAAACAAATATTATACAGAAATGACACGTCATGCGGCGTGTTAATCGTTTATATACTAGTGATGAGTTTCTCGTGGGTTCTAGAACGATCGGTAAGGCCCTCACATCGCGATTGGTCTAGAGAAATCTATAAAATTTCTTGTCAACATTTCATTGAGAATGATTCACTTATGTAAAAATACATATGACGTGTTGTGAAAAATCTGTATTTGTTGGAGAAAAATGGGTATCATTTTCTGATTCAGCGTACAGGATAAAATGTAAAAATTTCAAGACAATAAAACCATCGCAGGCCTGTATTATCAGATGTTTGATCTGCATAAAAATGGATTGAGAGGGTGTTTAAGACTATTTTATAATATAATTAGTATTATAATATTGCAATTTCTGATTACTTTTTAATTGTTTTGTCTAATACAATGTGTTATAGTTATGAGCAATGTGTTTTATGATAAATATAATTTCTATCAACTTTAAACAGATGATGCCTTTAGTGGCAAAACTGTGGTCGTTAATGAATGAAGTATTGTGAAACGTACAATTGTCTTTGTTTTTTTTTTCATCAATTCTTAAACGTGTATTAGTTTTTTTTCCAGTTATACCTTCTTAATATAAAATAGAGGGTTAAATCTTCCATTGTAATATTTATCATGCAAAGAAATTAAGTTTTCTCTACACTACAAACCAAATCATTAAATTTTTCCCAAGGTTCAAATGAAGCTTAAGCGGTTTCAAATCTTTTATGCAAAAGCTCTCTTCAGTCAAGCGTTTAAAATAAGCAAAATTAAAGTAATCATACTATATTAAACTTTTCAATTTGCCTTCAGGTATTAAAAACTTATCGGTTTGACGTTAATTTGTACAGAAAAATTGCGGCTGTCATTCAGACTACGAGAATTGCTGTATTGCCGAGTTTTCGCCGGGGAAAGGAGAATCTTGTATACACAGAAGTCCTGCTGGCTATAACACTACACTGTCAACCTTCCAAAGACCAAGTGGTGAAGAGACAGTCGTTCTTGACTCAAACTCTCGATGTAACTCACGTGGCCTTAATAGTACGGTAACTAATTTCACCTTCAATCATTTTTATGACAAGGATTAAGTATGCTACATATTTATCATAGAAAATACTTCATTCTAAACATACAGGTATCTAAATATGTTATACTATTTTTACGTTAATTATTTACCAATGTACTTATTGATTGAAATACATAAGTTTCATATTCCTTATTATTATTTATTTATAAACTAACTTTTTCAATAAGTTCTTATCTATGAAAATGCACCAAAACCTTCAACCCCGTAGTTAAGTTAATCATAGCATTTGCTATTATGTGACCGACGAGTCCGCCACGTGAGCCTTCTTCTTTGCCCGTCATTGGTTCTGTTTTTTAGACCAGAGTCCAATAGATTTTCAGCAAAAAGCTCCAAGCCCCGCTGATCGTGACTGGAACTTTGCAGCTCTTCAGCATGTCATCATCGCTCACCATTATTCACTCAATTATCAGCATATGAAAGGTTTTGAGGTGTTCGGCTTGCAACCTGTGCAGCCGCTGCGGGTGCGAACACCATGGACTTTTTGGTAGCCTCTGTTGAGGTAAATCCATCTATCAAGCCCCAAATTATTGTGATGGTATTCAAAAATAGATTTGGTGCAGACAAGTACATTACTGTGGTGGTATTCAAAAATAAGTTTGGTGCAGAAAAGGACAGTGCTGTGGTGGTATTCAAAAATAGGTTTGGTGCAGAAAAGGACAGTGCTGTGGTGGTATTCAAAAATAGGTTTGGTGCAGAAAAGGACAGTATTGTGGTGGTATTCAAAAATAGGTTTGGTGCAGAAAAGGACAGTAATAAACGTAATAGTAGCCTTCCATCAGATCAAGAACAAAGTCTCCAACTTCAAACAGACAATGAAGAAAGGTCGCATAATTTAATTTGAGAATAAAATTCATATGCGTGAATGTTGGTGGTAAGGTGGTGTAGCCACTCCAAAATCTGTCTTTCTTTGACTGCTCATAGCTCCCGTTAGGAATACTTTACTCGTATAGATTACATATTTAGATATAGCAGGTTTCGGCCTTTACAATGGTATGTGCAACAGTTCCAAAACTATTTACCAAAATTTCTTGTTTCTTGCCCTGCCACTCACTAACACTACTTCTTGTCTGGGCGAGAGAGAGATCACGTGTTAAGTCTTGTAGAAAATAGTGTTACTGAGGTTATCTTCATACAATAATCGATATTCTGTTTTTGTTTGCTTTGTAAAAATCCAAGTATAAACGAAGAATGGCTTACGAACAAACAGCAGTTGAAACGAAGTAGTTTGTTCGTAACTAATGTCCTGTATATAAAAATGTGTCCCATGGTAGTTAAACTACTCCAACAAAGCATTTCAAAAGTATCATTTATCTGATAAAATTAATCTACTTGTTTCACTTCAATAATAATGCTAGTTACAACCTGTTGAAAACGAGTATATTCGAATTAATAGCTCTCTGACGTTGCGTGGTGGACTACGATGTTGACATAAATAACGCCTGAGGAAGTCCAATCTCTAACCTTTATGGTCACATTCCGAACAGTATGGCATCCACCATTATCCTTTATCGGGACAATGTTTGGTCCAGTTGTACCTGTAAAAGTTCGTATGGACTTTGTCTAATGCCATGTCAATATACCGTCTATTAGTAAATCTACCCCAGTAAGATTTGTATGTTAATTCACTCTGATTTCTCTCCTCACCACAACTGAAACACCATCGAAACTGTCATATTCAACCGTTTACACCTTTGGCTTACCCAGCACAAACATGTCGATCCTCGATAGAGACGTGAGATCCTGATCCATCTATGAAGAGTGTAAATGTTTCTTTGCATTATTTTAAACTCTGACAAACGCCCAAATAAATGTGCAATAAACTGTGGGGTTCAAATAGGTTGTCTAGATCTAAAACTAGGCTCGTGGAGTCTGTTTCTAGCCATTTGATCACCAGTAATTGCTCCATTTGCTATCTCAAAGTAGTCAGTGAGACCATAGTCAGTGGAGTGGCGATTTTCAAACGGCCTTGCTGTACAGATAACAATCATTATGCCGCATAGTTTACCTTGTCTAAGTTGTCTGGTGTAGTAACCAGTTATCTCATATATTGTTCACAAACATTTTCACTACAGACGTACAAACACAAAATGAGCTGCCATTTGTGTTCTAACATTTGTCTTTACGTTTGTATGCATTCCGACATTTATATCTGTGTTTGTCGGGACTTCAACATTTGTTCCTATGTTTGTTTGAGTTCCAACATTTGTCTCTGTGTTTGTTTAGGTTCCAACATTTGTCTCTGTGTTTGTTTGAGTTCCAACATTTGTCTCTGTGTTTGTTTGAGTTCCAACATTTGTCTCTGAAATGTTGGAACCTAAACAAACAAAGCAGCTCTGACAGTCTGTACTTTCATCATAAATCTCCATTCTCCACCAATAGGTAATGCTGACACATATTTGCCCGTAAACAACAACAACAATAAAAAACTCGTAGTGACAACCGTAACAACAATACAACAAATGACCAAAACACATTTATCTGTAAACAATTCAAAAACTCGTAGTGACAACCGTAACAACAATTCAACAAATGACCAAAACACATTTATCCGTAAACAATTCAAAAACTCGTAGTGACAACCGTAACAACAATTCAACAAATGACCAAAACACATTTATCTGTAAACAATTCAAAAACTCGTAGTGACAACCGTAACAACAATTCAACAAATGACCAAAACACATTTATCTGTAAACAATTCAAAAACTCGTAGTGACAACCGTAACAACAATTCAACAAATGACCAAAACACATTTATCCGTAAACAATACAAAAATTCGTAGTGACAACCGTGACAACAATTCAACAAATGACCAAATTTACAGACTAAATGGTCGTAATGTCTTTTCAACCCGAAAAGCACTTGCAAAATACACCGAAACAGCAAAGTATTTTCACAATAAGACAATATAAACGTGCACGTGGCTAACAGTATGCTGTTATTAAAACTACGGTCAGGTATGATTTTCCATACTTTATCAAACATTTCTTCATTGAATGTTTTGGTGATCATGTATGTAACCCATAAGAATTATAATGATTCTTAAAGGTCATCAGATTTATCTTGGTTCCTTGGCATGATGTAGTTGCAAAATAAATCTGAACTCAGTTTAAGATAATTTGTGGGTGATTCACCAAAGAAGTGAAAGGCTATAATCATTGGAATCTATAAAACACTCGCATAAAGCCATAAACTACAAACCTCTATTTTAAGTCATATTTTATAATGGCAAGTTAGTTGCTTGACTATCTTTTACTTTCTAACAGTCAAACTGGTTTACTTACCACCAGAGTAATGATTACATTTCAAAGTAATTTTATTATTATTATTAACGTAATTGAAAGTCTTGAAATAAACTAAAGTATTTTTCCTCTCTTTTGAAATCGTGAGTCCCAAAAACGACACATCCATGTTTACACTAAGTAAATACAACACATAGAACAGAAATATATAAAAATAACTTCCGGGCATATAAAAAAAGATTGATTACATTATAAATAAGGTCAATTCTAAAACAACCGTTTACGTTTTGAATTATTAAATGAGGTATTAATAATAACGTCTGCTTTTTAACTGGCTTTTCTTTTCAGTGTCGAAATAAACAGAGCAAAGAAAGAAAATTCATATCTACAGCAGTATGAAGGAGTTAGAGAACCACAGAGAAGATTTGGTGCACGCTAGGAACAGCAAGGCTGACACACAGCGCTCAACCCATGTTTTTCGCAGATAGTGAAAGAAACAGATCCTGTACAACGAAAGGACAGGAGCTGACCTTTATCCAGTGTCAACAGCATCGGATAAATAGAGTATGTGAACAATGACAGCTCACGGTGGCCCCGCTTGTTTTGGTGTGATCCTCTGTTGTTCTCAAACTTTTCCTTTGTAAAATGATTTAACTGGAGCTGTAACTGGGACAGTATGATAGTTTTAATTATTGTGAAATACTCTTCAAGTCCATCAATCTCGGAAAACACATTTTTTTGTACTCACTGATATCTATATTCAAATATCTCTTTATGTTCATCATCTGTACCAGAAAGTATGTCAAACAAGATACTTTATGAGTTTATGTTCAAAAACAAAATAGTGTTTAACTCACTCCAAAAAATATTATTTGAATTCAACCCATTATTGTAAGTTAAGCTAATAACAGAGCAATTATTCATATACATATATCATGTAATCAAAATTTTAATTCGCTGACTTTGGCCCGGCATGGCCAGGTGGTTAGGGCGCTTGACTCGCAGTCTGAGGGGCGCGGGTTCGAATCCCCGTCCCACCACACATACTCACCCTTTCAGTCGTGGGGGAGTTATACTGTGACGGCCAATCCCTTATGCGTTGGTAAAAGAGTAGCCCAAAAGGTGGTGATAACTAGCTGCCTTCACTCTACTCTAGGGACGGCTAGCGCAGATAGCCCTCGTGTAGCTTTGCGCGAAATTCAAAACAAACAAATTGTTGACTTTGTGCAGCTTCCTGTATTTTACCCATTGTAACTATGGTAACTACGTGTAAGGTATATTGTTTGTAACGTGATATCTTACATTTATCCTACACATTCTGAAAAAAAATAAAATAAAATGTTTTTGGTATATTTCTATGGTGGTCTTCTTTTTCTTTATGAGAAAAAAAAAGAGTTTCTGATGTGGGAATGTAATTGTTCAAATTATTTTAACTTGCGAATTATGAAAAACATTAAAAAGTGAGAAGGAAAAAAAATGCTTGGTTACTTAGGCATCATTAGACTATACCTATTCATGCTTTAAAAGTAGAGTAGGATATCCCCGTCACACCAAACATGCTCGCCCTTTCAGCCGTGGGAGCGTTATAATGTGATGGTCAATCCCATTATTCGTTGGTAAAAGAGTAGTCCAAGAGTTGGTGGTGGGTGGTGATGACTAGCTGCCTTCCCTCTAGTCTTACACTGCTAAATTAGGGACGGCTAGCGCAGAAAAACTTCGTGTAGCTGTGCGCGAAATCAATAACAAACAAACAAACAGAGCAGGATATTTTCTTTATTTTTAGCATGTTGACTGCCATGAGACCAACCGGAGGGTCACATGGAAATATTAGTAATGTTCTCCGTGACTCTCAGGTGGTTCACAGACCATAATATCACAAATATAAAGTTTCTTTGTGGCATTTGACTCTAGAATATTGTGAATGCTTCTTGGCACTTTAGGAATTTGACATCAGAATACGGATTAATATATTATAAGGCGGCAGGCAACGTGTTAAAACAGTAAAAACAAAGATTTAAGTCTATCGAAATGATGCTACTAATAAAAACTGACACTCTTTTACTATAAACAAATTATTAAATGCTAAGTAATTTTCACTTGACAACACATTTGCACAATTTGGTCTTTCACCAAATATAGGAACTATCTACCTAACTCGAGGTAACTTTGGTCCACACGTTGTAGGATTATATTTATTTAAATTCGATTTTTAATTGATACAATGTAATAAAAAAGTACTATTCCAAAGCTTTGTACACTGATTGTTCCTATAGATATACTGATATCTCTTTATCTAATGATCAAAGTTTTTTGACACTGTCAAATACAGTCATCCACCAGAACTCATTCTAAAAAAAATAGAATAAAATAAACTATATAAGCAAACCACTTTACCAGGATCGAGATACAAATATCGTTGATCCAAGTTTCAGTAAAACAAACACTTTTTATTTTGAAAATATAAATATTCAATTTCCGAATACTACAATTTTTACTACTACAGTTTTTAGCGTTATAAGCCTTCAGACTTATCGATGACCACTGAGGGGGAGGGGCAATAACCTAGTACATCACTCAATATTTTACTGGCCTTTACTAGAACTTGAAGCATAACAAATCAGTACAACAAAATTTTGGTGAATTTGCTACAACAAGAATTTAGATATTCAAAGGAGACAAGTATACAGTAATGAGGCTTTCAAATATTTGAAACAAGTACCAGACAGCGCGGACTCCCCTGTAGCGAGATAATACTAGACAGCACTGAGTCTTCTGTATCGAGAAAATTACAATAAATTTGGGCTCCTCTGTAGTTAAAAAAATTCAGATAATACGGGATCCTCTGTAGCAAATAAATACCAGATAGTACGGGCTCCTCTGTGCTCGAGATAGTACCAAATAGTACGGGTTCCTCAATAGAGAGAAAATAACACACAGTACAGGCTCCTCCAAAACGAGAGCTTCACCAGAACCAGCACAATGTCTTCTATTAATATGATTCTTAAACAAAATACATGATAAATTTAAAAGAAACGTTTAAGAAACAAAATCTTTATCAAAACCTTATATGTTTTTCTTCTTTATTAGTTGTGGTGTGAAGAGTTCAATCTATACAGAGTAGTAAATAAACATTAAAGTGAACTCTTCTAAAATAACCGAGAATAATTTACACACTGACTCTCCATTTTATAAAAACATTCACCTGGTATTCTGGGTTGGAACACTTTTCACCATGACAATAGCTTTGATGTAGCTTTACATCGTCTCTTCCAGCCAAGTTCTCACAATACAAGAGCGAGATGGATTGATGCGTTAAGTCAAAGCATCAATAAACTGAAAGTCGAATATAGTTAAACAGAAAATGAGTTTATTATATAAGGGTTTAATACTTTGTGTTAAAACGATTTTGAATATTCAAATCAGGAAGTCGCTTGACAACCACAGCCAATATAAAAGTCATCGTGTGGAAACATATTGTTTCAGAACTACATTTTGACACCGTTTGGCGTTTCGTAAGTAGTGTGATGCCACGGAGAATTGTTCGCTTTTGGGATGAGTATGTAACAGCCCTTTCTGACGCAAGATATTTATACATTCAATCCAAAAAGTTGTCTTCAAATCTAGGATTTAGAATCTAAGAGAGGGATATCTCTTGTGCTTAACGACATTCTAAAACAAAGAAATGTGAATCAACTTGGGGCACCAAGACCATTTGACCACAAGGACAAAAAGAATGACATTCGACTCATCTGACTCATCACATGTTTCCAGTAATAAATTTCTACAGTTTTGTTTGTGCTACTGACACCACGTTTTTCTGCTTCCATCTCAGATAAGTGGTTATTAAACTTGTTGTCTGTTAACATTTGACATTTTTACGATCTTCTTCTGATAGTAGTGTTAAAGGAATGAATCACATGGGACATGATATAAAGCCTGCTACACTTTATAAGCTTTATCTCTATTCTCTTTGTGCTGGGTGTAGTATGGTGGTTAGTATGTCAGACTGTGGATGTGATGAAACATTATTCATGTCAGTTACCGCAAAATTGCTCCTGACACTTTGTAGCAGTTGGTATGTTATAGAAGTGACAGTCAAATCTAATATATGATTAGATTAACCGGAGATTTGGTGATCAGTGCTCTTCACTAGTTGTGGAAATATCCAAAACAAACGAACAATAATCTTTGTCGTCACAGATGTTTTTTTAGTATCAGTATTATAACTTTTGAACACTCTTTGTTAATACACTCTGTTTAAAAATATCTTTGAATAATTAGTGTGGCCAAATATTTACATCTCATCCTGATCATCAGTAGTCTATAGTCCAGGATGAAGCGGACAATACTTTGGTAGACCATAAGCAAGTGACATTCTTCATTTCTATTTTCTGCTGGAACTCTCAGTGCATTTATGCTTTCGTAGATCTTGTTATCATTGTGTTAATGTGGCTGATGAAGTTGAATTGTCTGTCAATGACTATTCCCACGTACGTTAATATTTCTTCCAGAGAGAAAGTAGTACCCGTAAAGGATGGTGATGGTTTGTCCTCATCAGCATGTCGATGGTTCAGTGTGCAGAACAAGGCTTGGGCAAGATTTATGATTATTTATGTGTCATTCCACAATCTACTCACCTTGCTAAGGGATGGTTGCATCTTGCTTTTGAGTTCAGCTTTGCTAGAGCCTGTGCTAGGAACCAAGTTGTCACCAGCTAAAGTTAGCACACAACATCTGTTTGAACTCTCTAGGTGGGCTAGATCCATGATTTAAAATTTGGAGAGGATTGAGGGGAGTACTTAACCTTAAGGCAGACCATTGTTGATGGTTAAATAGTCTCATTACAAAATGATATGTGTGTTCTGGTAGTCAGTGCAGCTACAACACATCTTACACATGTTATACTGATGCCAATTCTGAGCACTGTAAGCAAGAATAGGCCTCTGAACTCTATTGGAGAAATCTTCCAGATCTAAAGCTACTACCAAGGAGTTTTCACTAGCTTCAAATCCTTCCAATGTATCAGTTCCAAGTTCAGAAGTTTTGATCCAGATTTCTCAGCCATTACAATAACCACTTAATGATTATGGTAGTAAGGGGCCCACCTGATAGGAAAGCCTTCTAGCTACAGCCTTCTCTGTGATCTTACTAAAGATGTTTGATAGGACGATAATTCAATGGCATTTAAGACGAGAGTGATCATTTATGCTACAAGTTGTCCAGCTGCATTGATACTCCGATACTAGCTTCAGCAGATTAGCCTCTTAAAGGAGCAGATTCTTGCACGTTTGGTCACGAGGCTCTATCTTATGTGTATCTCGTTCAAGCTAAAAGTGGCTTCAGTATATTCATGCAGTTGTGGTTCAGGTAGGGATTACTATAGATTTAGCCTATCCTGTATTTCACCATGGTCACATAGGTTAATGTATCTGTGCATAGAGTCCTCGCTTTGGTCTTCATCTGTATAGAGTGAGGTACCGTCGTTATTTTAAATGACTTACATTACAGTTTTTGGTTCCTGTACTAGTTATAAGCTTATGAAATTGGCCTTGCTGTATATTTCATTCCATTTCATGCCACATGCTTTAGAAGTTGATAATCTTTAGAGAGTTCATGCTCAATCCCATACAATCGTTGCCTCCTCAGTCCAGGCTGGGTCATGCTTTATCTACATAAACTCAGTCTGGAGTTAACTGCCTTCTCTCCAGGCTTTATCAGCATCAATATTCAACCAGTATGAAGTGTTTCCTACGCAGAAGTAACATTGTTTTATAGTATAAAGATGCTTGAAGATAATAATGCTGCCAGAAATTTGACTTCTTTGTATGGTTTACGAAATTGTTTTTACATTTTGTCTTCCAGACCTCATTCACACCTCACACATAAAGTAATTACAGCACACACTATTTCCCTATGACTGGTAGAGATGGCATTCAAAGTAGCAAAAGGTGTCACTATACTGGAG